GGAATGATGTATACATGCCACTAGAAGACACCATCGCAGCCTGCCTGCGCAGGACCTTATTTTCCCTAAGGGGAGGTGATTTTAAAAGGATGTTTTAAAATCAAGGGCGGACGCATTCTTGATTTCATGTCATGAATTTATCATGATCATGAATTTGTAAGTTTGTTGTTTGAGCCCACATGTCATCTTTGCGAAGCAGATTGACAGGGATTGCGAGCAAGGTCTTGGCTCACAGGTGAGCTCAAAGTTTTTGTGTAAAGGTCTCTAGAGGCTGCTGTCTAACCTAAAGGCCCGTGTAAAGGTGCTAAGGGTACCCGCTAGGGGTCCGTGCAAGCCGTGTGCCCCAGCCTGTCGGGGGCCGGCGGATGTTAGACAGCCCCTCCTCAGAGGCTCCTGCAAGTGCAGGCAGTGTGAGCGCGTTGCGCGCTGATCTCCAGGAAGTTACCTGTACGGTAACTAACACACGTGTCGCCCTGGAACAAGCTATTTTTGCCTTGCAGGATAAGTACAGTGATCTGCGCGCGTCGCTCAATCATTTGCAGATCAGCCTTGCTCACCTCGCGCAGCAGTCGCTTGAAAGCCGATATCAGGTCTCGATTGCCCGTTTGGAAACCCAACAGTTGCAGGTTCGCTTGGAGGAAGCCGAGGCTCGCCTTAGTTTGTGTGAGCAAGCCCTTGACTTGCATTGCCTTGATTGACCCAGCCTGTACCATGGCTGCTGCTTCGAGTGCAGGGGGTTCTGGGGGTGGTCAGCAGCCTGATTTGCAGTACTTGACCCAAACAATTAATCAAGCCGTGTTCTCTTGTGCTGAAGCAGGAGTGCCGAGGTTACCTTGGGAGGAAGGTGGCTTGGGATTGATTTTCGGCCAGGATCCTCTTGAAGCAATTTGGGGTGATAGTCCCGATAAGGTTCCTTTCCCGATTCCCGTGGCTCCAGACGCCCCGCTTGAAGTGAAAGCCCAAGCAGTCAAGAAGGCCAGGGTCTTTGACAAAGAGCAGCCGTGTTTTATCAAGTGCGTCAACTTCAGGAATCAAGCTACTGATGAGGAGCTTGAAAAGGGCAAGTGGCAGAAGGCGCTTGAGAAGTGGTATGTTCTTGTTACTCAGGACCCGACAGTCTCTTTGGTGGGTGCATCTATAGTAGGGCTGGATATGAAAGAGGGCATGCTATCGCTGCGTGAGCTCTTTGGTAAAAAGAGTCATTCCACCGTGGACAAGCGAGGGTCCGCCTTGCTTAAGTACCTCAGGTACATGCATGAATCTCATCCGCGCAGGCCAGCCTTTCCCTTGAGCATGCATTGCACGGACCTGTGCATCAGGCGCCTCAAGGCCACCAGTGCCAAAGCCAGCCAGGTTTCATCATTCACAGAAGCGGTGAGGTTTGCGGTGCATGTGGTTGGGGTTAGTGCTGATGACTCGAGCCCAGGCAAGTTGTTTAGCCCGTGGGCTCTAGGGTATCAGGGGCTGTTACTATCCGGGAAGGATGAGCGGCAGCCATCACTGGTTTTGGCAGTCCGGCAAGTGGAGTGCCTCGAAGAATCTCTATGGGATGAAGGCCTGGGATTGGTTGCCTCCGGGGCGTTTCTTTTCTGCCTTTTCTCGCGAAGCCGGATCAGTGACATCCGGAAAGTGCGCGGCTTCGTTGTTGACGTAGTGGTTGAGGGAGGTTCTGCAGTTGGTTTCCTGGAGTGTGGCGCCAGGGACCACAAGACGGCCTTGCAGACTCAGACGGTGGGCGTATCAATGCCTCTCGTCGCTCCAGTCAATGGTGTGAGGCAGGTTCCCTGAAGGCTGCAATTTGTAAGGATATCTGAGGAGGTAGGCCTCCCTTTCCGCAGCAGAGACCCAGGTCCTCTTTTGCCGGCACCGGCGCAGGCAGGAGGTTGGACTAGCCGAGCTGTCTCCTCCACGGGAGTTGGTTGAGAGCTCTGCTGAGCAGAGGCAATGCTTGCGGTGATGGCGTGACTGGACACTCCCTTAAGAGCACCACGCTCGATTGGTGTGGCAAGTACGGGCTGTCGGACAAGGACCAGACTTTGTTGGGCCATCATGCATTGAAAGGGGAGTCCATGTACTCATACATGCGTGACAAGCTGGCGTCCCCTCTGCGAGCTTACGAGCAAATGCTTCAATCAGTGCGACATGCTCTGTTCTTGCCGGACTCGACGACGTCGGGTATGTTCCGTGCCAGACCAAGTGAGGGGTCCGAGGTGCCAGGTCGTCCTGCCAGTGACAACCTCCGAGGGGTCATTCCGGAGGAGCATAGCGTCTTGCGTCCAGGTCGCACTCCTAGCGAGAGGCTGTCTGAGGTGAGAGAAGAGATGCCCACGAATCCCGTCGAAAGTGAGCACGAATACTATGCTGCTGTAGCTGACTCACCTAAGTCTAAGGCGCAAAGCATCTTGGATGAGGTTTGGCCTTCCCGTGGCGAAGAGGGAGAAGGAATAGGCGGCAGTCCCCTTGGTGACAATACTGATTCATCGTCCAGCTCGTCTTCTAGTGATACTGAGACTAGTGAGGGCGAACCAGACTGGGTAGGGGAGTTAGGCCCGGATTTATCCAAGGTGGTGCCCCAGGCGAAGCCAGTGGAACCAGACCTGGAGTTTTGGAAACATCCGAAGACCTTGACCATCCATTCTTTTGCGGCAGGGTCCATGAAGAGTGCGTTCACTTGCGGAAGGAAGCACACCTCGGATTATGTGCGCATTACAGAGAGTGCATTTTTGTCTTCCAGGTTGTGCGAGGTTTGCAAGAAAAGCAAGCCTGTACGCGATGTTGGGGCTTTGGCCTCAATGCTTGATAAGGGTCTCAGGTCTCGGTGACGAAGTGTCGCAGGGCCGAGCCCTATGGCAAAGGTGTGCCATTCGATCTGCCGAACGGGGAGGTACCCAGGATGGCTTCTGAAGGGCTCCGATGTTGGAGCCAAGCATTTGCCGCTGAAAGGTGTGAGTCTTGCACGTGTCGCAAGGGTGTGGCAGCAGGCAAATTTCTAAATCGCAAGTAAAGCAGAGCTGACGCTGGAGGTCAGCGAGGTTCTTGCAACATGTGTCTTGTATGACGTCGCGTGAGTTTTGACTCAAGCTGTGGAGTATCTAGAGGGCCATGGCTGCAGCGGCAATTCCAATTTCCTTTACTGAATCCAAAGCTGCCTTCATAAAGAGGGCGCTGGAAGTGGGGCTTGTGCAAGCCGAAGTAGACCACTTGGTAGCCGCTCACGTGGACACTTTGTCCAAGCTTGCGTTCATTCTTGTTCCTTTCCAGGAAAGGTTCCAGAGGACACTGCTGTAACTGGCCTCTTGCCACGCACCTCGAATGCCGGGTCCGTAGCTGGCCTCAAGCGCCTCATGTTTGAGGCACATCCCCTCATAGTTTCTGAGCTCAAGCAAAGGGTCGAGAGGTCCGAGGAGAGTGCCCCGGTTTCTCTGAATGGAGCTGAGCGAGAGACTAGGCTGGAGGCTCAGAAGCTCAGGTTAGAAGGCCTCAGTTTTCAGGGCGAGGAAGAAGTCGCCCACGATGCCTATAATCTTGTCTACGCCATGATTCAGAAGGACGATCTGGTGTGGCTGTTGCCTGAGAAATTTGGTACGCGACGGGCCGAGATTAGCGCCAAGAAGCAAGGGCGAGAGTTGATCATCGATGGGACCGGCATCGCCATCAAGGAAAAGCCGACTACCATCGTGTGCTCCTTAGCAACAGAACTTGATGTCGTGATGGCGCTTCGCAGGCGCGCCTTAGCATTTGATTTGATCGGGGTCGCGCCCTTTAATGTAATATCAACAAGTTCCACCAGGCCCTCGCGCAAAGGTTGCAGGAGCCCCCGCCACCGGGGTACTCCAAGGTGTCCCTGCAACAACTCCTTAGAGCAGATCGTGCCGCGTTTCTCCGAGCCTCGGAATTGACTACAACGCTCAAGCGAGGTGCGGGAGGGCAATTGCCATTGGACGGCATTATCAACAACATCTTGTTGGACCCCTCTGTGGCTTAGCACTTATTGCCTCTTCCGTTGTCTGGCGGGGGAGAGTCATCCAAGGAAGGGAAAAGGTCCAGTTCGGAAGCTGGGGCCACTCCAAGGGGGTCGAAGATTCAGAAGTTCTCTAAGAGGCCAGGGGCCCAGGCGCCGTCAAAAAGACCAACTTTGCAGTGCCCAAGGAGTTGGTAGGGAAGCTTCATCAGACTCCCAAAGGCCACCGGCTTTGTTGGAGCTTTAATCTCCCTTGCGGCTGCTCCGATGCCAAGCCAGGCGGTAAGTGTTCTCGAGGCCTTCACTTGTGTGCCGAGCCAGGGTGCCTGAAGCCCCACTCCCTGCAACAGCATTCCTGACTAAGCTTCCCATCATTTGTGTGTCAAGCCTCAGCAGCCGCTGAGCGATCCAGTTTTGATGAGGCTGCCAAGCAATTCTTGTCCGGCCTTCCCCTTAGTGGGGTCTGTGTGGAGTTGTTCGCTGGCAGCGCCAGGCTCACTGCCTCATGTGGCAGCGAAGGTTTCGACTCTTTTGGGGTAGACCATGTGGTCTCTAAGCAGGCCTCGGGCTCCATCCTTCAATTAGACTTGAATGATCCACTATGTGTTGAGCACCTGTGGAAAATCCTTTCCGACCCGGCTGTAAAGTACATTCACTGCTAGCGCACAGAGGCAAGGCCGCAGGGAATAGAAGGGTTAGAGGGGGTCAATGCCGTTAGGGTTGCCAAGGCAAATGCCCTCTACAGCCTAGTCCTTGACATCTGCAAGTTTTGCGTCAAAAATCATAAGTATTTTTCTTGTGAACACCCGTCCCGAAGCTACCGGACTGGAAAGAATTCATGAGCCGGGCAGATGTCCGACAAACCTTTTTCCATCATTGTGAGTACGGGGGCGGCCGCCGAAAGGGCACTCGCCTGCTCCACAACATTCCTAAGTTCGACAATCTCCACCGCCTCTGTTCCGGAAATCATGTCCATGCAGGCTGGGGAAGAGTAAAGAACAAATGGGCCACCTCCTTTGAGACTGCCAACCATGGGGCCTCTGCAAAGTCATGGCCAGCCTCTTGAAGGAACATTTCCTCAGCCTCGGTTGCCGCCCAGCTCCCACGCAGTTATCTGAAGCTCCAGCCTCAATTCCTGGGGCTAGGGCTTTCTCAGGCATGCAAAGCAGAAAGCGAGTTGCGCCCCTCGTCAGTGAGTTCGCATCTGTGCATTCCGTTGTCCTGCCCCTGGCTTTGGCGACAAAGTTCCTGACCCCAGGTTACAAGCTGCCTGCATCATGGGCCGTGGGGAAATCTGTGTCATGCACTCCGCCTATTGCGTCTTTTCCTGCAGGCAGCCGAGTCCTACGAGCCCACATAATTCAGGGGGACAAAGACGGCCCGGTAGGACTTAGTGTGGCTAGTGGTTCTAGTGGTTTAGACCCCAGCGACCTCCCGTGTGAACCTTCGCGTTCCAAGGAGGGCATGAAGGGACTTAGGGGTCATAGTGGCTCTAGTGGTTTAGACCCCAGTGCCCCCCCGTGTGCGCCTGCCCGTTCTAAGACAAACAGCATAGAAGGTGCAGGGTTGGACCCAGCAAAGCAGGAGGTCAAGAAAGCAATGCAGTCAGGAGACCCGGAGGCAGTGGCCACTCTTGTCAATCGGCAGGCCAAGGTTGCAGCCAGAGACCTGTCTCTTCTCCTGGACCTGTTGCCTTCGGAAAGCCTCAGATGGTCCGGCGCGTCACAGCCAACAGCCAAATCCTTCCAAGCTGGAAGTTTCGTTCACGGTGGAGTGAGAGGCATCAGGTCCACCACTCGCAAGTTCCCTGAGTGCACCAAAGCCATATGCACCTACGTTCGGCAACTTTTTCCTACCCTCACCTTCGGGACGGTTGGGCTGTTCCGGGACGTGTGCGCGATCCCCCACCGGGACTCCAACAACGAGGCTTTCACTGACAATGCCATAGCAGCTTTATCTTCCTTCGAAGAGGGAGGATTGTGGATGGAAGATCCAGACGGGACCGTTGCCATGGACTTCCAAGGAAAGGCTGTTATAGGCGTTAAGGTTCCAGTAGATAGGCGGGGCTTTAGGTTCGATGGACGCAGGTTGCACGCCGCCTTGCCGTGGTCTGGCAGGCGAGACGTTGTAGTGGCTTACATGGCGAGAGGACCAGAGCTCTTGACCACTGCAGACCAGTGCTCCCTGAGGCAGGCAGGCTTCCCCTTAGCCAAGGAAGACACGGTGTCAGAATCGTCTTCCAAGAAGGAGATGGTCAAGGTGGTCATTGGAGTGTACCGGACGCCGGAACAGTTCGTTTCAGAGGCTATGGCCATTGGGCATCCTTCCATGTTGTCATCTTTGCTCCCGCCAGAGCTCTTGGAGGCTGTGCAGGCTATCCACAGGCGAGGCGAAGGCTCCGTTGCTAAAGACAGGACGGCCGTTCTCAGGATGTGGCTGCAGTGGGTAAGCGAGTTAGCTCATGACGAGGAGGAACTCAAAGCAGGTCCCAGGTAGAATCGGTACCTGTCCATTCGGTGGATGTTGTTGCTGGAATGCTGGGGGCGTGGCTGCATGAGTGGTTCTGCGCGGGGCGTAAGGCCGAAGGCGCCCCCAAGTGCAAAGCATGGGATCTCCGTGCCGCTTACAAGCAGCTCCCTCTTTCAGATTCATCGTTTGAGATGGACAGCTACTTTGTCATATACAATGCCGAAAAAGGCTCCAGCGAGATTTACAAACAGAAGGTGTTGCCGTTCGGATCCAAGGCCAGTGTCTCGGGATTCATCAGATGTGCCTTCGCGTTGTGGCGAGTAGGGGTGAGGTCTCTCCAATTAGCTTGGACGGACTATTTTGATGATTACTTGAGCGCTAGCGGGGCTGCGTGCACTCGGCGCACCGAATTTGTCATTTCTATGTTCTTCAAGATTTTGGGCTGGGAATAGAGGACCTGTCCGTTGGTTTGCGCTGCTCAATTTGTATATTTATGTTTGATGAGATGCGAAATATTTCAAGTGAATATTTCAGATTTTCAATCCGTGACTGATCTGAAACATTGGGACTAAATATTTCAGATTGTATGTGTGAGCCCGTCCCCCCCTGAAGAAGGGAAAATAA